GCAAAAGGATCCAATGGGGAGATTTACAATGCATTACACAGAGTGCTTTTACATTTTGTGTAATAATGCATAGATTTTGGAACACACAATTACAAAGGCACATGCTTATCAAGGAGAACTTGTCACAAACTCCAGCAGTTTTGGGTCAAAGGAAGACAAAAAAACCTATTCAACTAAGTAACTGTGGTCAGTTGTGCCTGATCAGGTAGAGCAATTCCTTCTTGACCTAAGCAGGCAGTCAAAACAGATTAAAACAGAAACAGTTGAGTACTGACGTGATACTTTTTTATTTGCACTAACATACAATTTTGGGGACAAGCTTTCAGGGAATGTCCCCTTCTTCAAGGTCCAAGCAGTACTGATCACCAAGTTTTAGCAGAATGTTAGAAGAGATGTGGGGTGTTTGCTTTGCTTTTGCTGTGTCTTATCTCTAGTTCCTTTTTTTTTTCCTCTCTTTCTCATCCCCCACATCGCTTCTAACATTCTGCTAAAACTTCGTGATCAGTACTGCTTGGACCTTGAAGAAGGGGACATTCCCTGAAATCTTGTCCTCAAAATTGTATGTTAGTGCAAATAAAAAAAGTATCACGGACAGTACTCAATTGTTTGTCGCAAGTGCACTAATACGGCTACAATCACCTCAACCCAAGTTAAAACCAAATTAAACCTTAAAGAATATGTAAACCCAACATTTCATATTCTCGGTATGTGCCTGCTGTACCATGTACTTGTATGAAAACATATCCTGTCCTCTTTGTATTGCTTCCTTTGTGCGAAATCTCTGGTGTTCCTGCCAGTCTCTATGCTTTCCAATAAAAAAAAAAAATTACCACACTAGGCATGGGAGCACAGTGTGGTCAGTTCTTTAACTGTACTGGGAACTGTGTGCTCTCCTTCACTGATCAGACTAGTCTTGACCCCCCCCCCCACACACACACACACACTTTCACTGGGAAGTTCAGTGTGCTGCTGTCTCTCCTCTGCAGCGCTCTAAGGTCCTGAGATGAGAACAGAGGGTTTGTGATCACACATGAAAAGGGGGCAAATGCTATTTATAATGTTTTTACATATCTACACAAATGTTTTACCTTTCATTTCTATTATAAACTGGGTTGTTTTACAAGGTGAGGGTTTACAATCACTTTACGTTTAAAGCAGTCTAGAACATTCCAAGTGCATCAAAACAAAAAGGTGTGCAAAGTCTTACAACATTCCCTTCCAATAAATCAGCTCTGCAGTCAGTAAAGATGATGCTTCTTGCTAATTGTGAAGCTCTAATTCTGTTTGGGAGGTTTGGGGTGCAGAGGTTAACGGGGAAATTTAAGATGCAAAGGTCTACTGATGGGGTGGATAAAGATGTACGTCACGTGTAAGGTAGCCCATTCATTTCAATGGGCTGCTCTATGCGCTAGAAATGCTGAAATATAGTCCCCGACCCTTTTTCAAAATCACACTGAGCCACAGCACAGTGAATTTTTTATGTGGAAACGCGCACATCAGCAGATGCGCGAGGGTGTCATTGACAATTAATGGCACTGCTGTGTATCTGCTAAAGGGCAGCACATTTCTGTTGTGTCACGAAAATGATTTTGCATGCGTTTCCGACACGCATAAATGTGACCATAGGCTAAATGTATCAGTTACATTGGTGGTCAGTGTTTATTTTCTCATTACATTGGGGCTTGGTGTAGAATCCTTTCATTCATACTAGTGGTCAGTGTGAATGTCCCCCTTACACTGTTCAGTGTAAATCCCTCCTGACATTGGTGGTCACTGTGGTCCTATTACATTAGTGGTAAATGTAAATCCCCATTATATTGGTGTCCACTGTATAAACTCCTCTTTATATTGGTAGTAGTAAAACATCCTTGCATTAGTGGTCAGTGTCGAATCCCCCTTTACATTGGTGGTCCATGCAGAAGCCCCCTTAAATTGTGGTCAGTGTAAATTCCCTCGTACATTGGTGGCCAGTATAGAAATGTACTGATTGTTGGTGTAATATCCCCCATTACATTGGTTGTCAGTGTAAATTTTTCATTACATTGTTCATCAGTGCAAATTCCCCATTACAGTAGTGGTCAGTGTACATTTCCCTTTACATTGCTGGTAAGTGCAGAATTGGCCTTACACTGGTGGTCAGTGTAAATCCCCTCTTACATTGATGATAGATGTAGAAATGTCACCTCCCATCCCTATCCAGCACTGCAACTGATCCCACCCCCCCAAGTACTGCCACTGATCCCATCCCGCCAAGTACTGACACTGATCCCATCCCCCCAAGTACTGCCACTGATCCCATCCCCCCACCAGCACTGACACTTATCCCATCCCCCCCACCACTGACACTGATCACACCCCCCCCAGCACTGCCACTGCCACTAATTCCAGGAGTCCTAGAATCCATGAATTCCAAGAGTCCTAGAATGTGCAGGCAGTGAGGAGACGATGTGCTGTAACCTTCAGCAGCCAATTAGTGAGCAGTAATAATTTGCGGTAAACCTCTAGCAGTTGGTGAGCGGTAATGATGTGCAGTAATCTCTAGTAACCAATCAGTGAAGAGCAGTGATCTGCTGTAAGCTCTAGCAACCAATCATAGAGTGGTAAGGATGTGCAGTAACCTCTAGCAACCAATGGGTGAGCAGTAATGATGTGCAGTAACCTCTAGCAGCCAATCAGTGAGTGGTAATAATGTGCAGTAATCTCTAGCAACTAATCAGTGAGCAGTAATGATGTGCAGTAACCTCTAGCAACCCATCAGCAAGCAGAAATCTTGTGCTATAACATCTAGCAACTAATCAGTGAGCCATAATGTGTAACCTCTACCAAACAGCCAGTGAGCTGCAGTGATATGCTGTAACATCTGTCAACCAATTGCAATTGCTGCCTGAATTGCTAAAAAAAAACAGTTTAGAGTCTAGCTGCTATTGTTTGTCCAGGGTCCAATCAATATTAAAGACAGCACTGAGAGAGGGGGCAGTTGCTCATTGCTCAAGGAACCCCTAGCAACCTCTGGAGGAACCTTAAGGTTCCACTGAACCCTGGTTGAGAGAGGCTGCCAAGAGACGGGGCCTTTTCAGCTTAGGCTGTGGTTGCTTTCTAAAGAAAGTGAACTGTATGATTTTGCAAACCTATTGTTTTAATGCACATGGTATGTATTTAGTCAATTTTAAATAAATGTTCAGTTGGGCTTAAAAAAAACAAAAAAACATTTTGTTCTTTGGAAATTATAACTGAGAATTCCATTTGTTGTAAAACAATCAAGTTATTTTATTAAATTCTGTTATTGGTTTTTCTATTACCACCACAGGCAGGATGACAATGCACAGCTTAACCACTGTTTCCTCCCATATGATGGTAAACTTGTTTTCTTTCTATGTAACTGATGTCCAGTTGTCCTTAATAAAGTGCTTGGGATAAAAAGTTAACTTGGCAAAAATATAGTGTATGTTGAAACTAATTAATTCCCTCTATTATGCACACATGACAAATACATACAGTATGTGGAATGCAATTGCACATTTCCTGACATTGTGAAATACGGAACAAAGCACTGAAGGAATGAGGAAAAAAAAAGACACACACTTCTATTTTGTTCTCTTTCAATAAGATCCAAGGGGTTCATGTTCATGTATTTGATCTTAGCAGTAATGCAGTGCAAAGTGCATGTGTCCATGTAAGAAATTCTGTTCAGTTCAGTTTCTGCTTAGAGAATACGGTGAGCAATCAGGGATGCTGTTAGAAACCAGGGTCCCCATACAGCCAACCTGACAGGACCCCCTCAAAAAAAAACCCCCCAAAAACCCTATAGGCTCCAGTTATGAATGAACACAGTGAGTGATTGGTACTGATCACTCAATGTGTTCATTCAGGAAAGGAAGGGGCTGGTAAATGTGACATATTTACCATACTCTTCAACTACTCTCCATCCTGAAGGATCCTTTTGTGTTCTTGCAGCTGCCGATGGGAGGTAGAAGAGGGAAGCTGACAGCACTGTGTGGGTGAGGCCATGGGCAGCAGAGTGCAACATTTAGTGCACATGAATGGTGATGGGTGCGGCGGGGGGGTTACTGGAACCAATCCCCTGTATGGCTCACTCTGCAGCAGCTGAAAGCCAGCGGGATTGAGAGAAGAAGCCACATTTCAGCTGCTGCAGAGACAGCCATACAGGGGATCGGTTCCAGTAATTGCCCCCCCCCACGCTGTGCCGATCACCCTCTCTGCCCACATCTGACTCACCCAGCTACCTGGGCCCCTTGCTGTCCTGGGTCCCCGTATAGGAGGACTGGTGGTACCCACTTATCCACGGCCCTGGTCGCAATAGTGCACTGAAAACAATACAGTTGAGTATTCTCAGTTATTCCTTTTTTTTAAATCGCACTAGCAGTTAATTTATTTAGGACAAGCTTTCAGGTAGTACACCCTTTTCTAGATCCAAGCAGTACTCTTTGTATAGTCACTCAAAGCTAAACTTCTTGACCAGTTACTACACTTATCGCATTGAATTGTACCTCGCTGTAGAAGGTTGCCTTCAGTGTTTGCTGTTAGCCACAGCTTGCTGCATTTAATAATCACTTTAACTGAAACTGGTAGAATTGATAACTTTAGTTTCTTCTTTAAGTGGTTCTAAAAGCAGAAGGTTTTTTTTACTGTAATGCATCTATGCATTAACCTCTTGCTCTCCAGAGGATTTCCGGACCAGGCCATTTTTTGCGATACGGCGCTGCATTATTCTAACCGAAAATTGCACGGTCAGGCAATGCTGCATCCAAATAAAATTTATGTCTTTTTTTCCCCAAGTAGAGCTTTCTTTCGGTGGTATTTGATCGCCTCTGCGTTTTTGTTTTTTTTGCGCTGTAAACAAAAAAAGACCGACCGACCAAAATATATTATTTACTTTTTGCTATTAAACATGTCCAGTAAAAAAAAAAAAAATTAAAAAATCAAATTTCATCATAAATTTAGGCCAAAATGTATCCTGTTACATGTCTTTGCTAAAAAAAAAAAATCCCAATAAGTGCAAAAAGGCCTGGATTCTTTCTTGGATACACAGAATATAACTGGATACTAACATTTATAGGTAAGATTGATCCAGGGAATATCCGATTACCTCTCGGGGTGATCAGGAAGAAATCTCTTCCCCTGCGGGAGCAAATTACGTCGTGCTTGGCTGGGTTTTTTTGCCTTCCTCTGGATCAACTGTGGGTATAGGATTATATCTTTTATTTTTAATGGTTGAACTGGATGGAATTTTGTCTCTTTTCAGCCAGACTAACTATGGAAATGAATTGGTTTACGTGAAAGTTATAGCGTTTATAAATGGCTGTATATACACTGGAATGGTGGCGATCAGCGACTTATAGTGGGACTGCAGTGGGCATTCTGACACTGGGGAGAACTGACTTGGTGTCACTGACATCCCCAGTGACACCAATAATGTGATCAGTGCTAATAAAAAGCACTGACACTGTACTAATGGCACTGGGCAGGAAGGGGTTAATATGTGGGGTGATCAAAGGGTTAACTGTGTGCTCTGTGTGTGCTTTACACTAAGCAGTGTTCAGGAGCTGACAGGGGAGAGATCTGTGTTGTTTACAAGGTGCCGGCAGGGAATTACCGGCTGGGACCCAGTGATTGACAGCAAAGGCGGCGCATGCCCCCTACCCGGAACTGCAAAATCACGTATATTTGCATGATTTTGTGCACCCATGCGCCTCCCTGTAGCAGTATTTCTGCTATAAGGCAAAATGTGGTAATCCGTTTTGTTTTAAAATGATGATTGAGTTAAGCCAGCCCTAGATGGAGTGATTTTCTTTTTTGCAACCACGGCTTGCAGGAAAGAAAATTGCCCATTTACCCCATCAACACAGTCAGTGTTGATGGGGGAATCATGCCCGTGCAGCCATTGAATTCTCCTGGCGGGGGGAACACTGTGATTACTGCTAGCGGCTATAATAGCAATATAAACGTAAAATTTGACAGGCTGGTTGTACCCAAAACGATTGATCAATGTAGGTAAATTGAGCTTACCAATCAATGGAACAACAGCTAAAGAACTGCAGGCCTTACTTGCCTCAGTTAAGGTCGGTGTTCATGATTCAACAAAAAGAAAGAGGCTGGGCAAAAATAGCATTCATAGGAGAGATCCAAGGCAAAAGCCTTTGCTGCCCAAAAAAAACACAAAAGCTTGTCTTGCATTTGCCAAAAAGCACCTTGATTATTTCCAAGACTTTTAGGCAAATATTCTGTGGACTGATGACACAAAAGTTTAACTTTTGGAAGGTGTGCATCTGGTTACATCTGGCATAAAACTAACACAGCATTTAATAACATCCTACCAATAGTCAAACATAGTGGTGGTAGTGTGATGGTCTGGGGCTGCTTTGCAGCTTCAGGACCTGGACCACTTGCCATAATTGATTGAAGCATGAATTCTGCATTCTACCAAAAAATTATGAAGAAGAATGTCTGGCAATCAGTTTGTGACCTCAAGCGCACTTGAGTTATGCAGCAGGACAATGATCCGAAACACACCAAATAGCCCACCTCTGAATGGCTCAAAAAAACGAAATTAAGGTTTTTGAGTGGCCTAGTCAAAGTCTGGACTAAAAATCCGATTGAGATGATGTGGCATGACCTCAAACAGGCCGTTCATGCTTGAAAACCCTCCAATGTGGCTGAATTAAAAAAATGTTTTAATTGGGCCAAACTTTCTCCATATTGATGTGAAAGACTCATTGCCAGTTGTTGCAAACACTTGATTGCAGTTATTGATAGCAAGGACAGCACAACCAGTTATTAGGTTTAGTAGACAATTACTTTTTCACATAGGGCCCGGCAAGTTTGGACAGCGTTTTTCCTTTAGTAAATGAAATCAACATATAAAATTGCATTTTGTATTTACTTTGATTATTTTTGTGTAGTACTAAAATTTGCTTGATGATCTGAATCATTTAAGTGTGACAAATATGTGACAAAAAAAAAAATCCGGAAGGGGTGAATACTTTTTCACAGCACTGTATAATACAAGAAATGTATCTTCATCCCAAACCACGTGATTCACCAAGTGCACCTCCACCTTCAACTAAGGTGGTCACAAGTGTAAATCTGTAAACCGAAAAACTGTTCTGAGTATCCAGGCCACATACAGATCCATTGTGATAGAGGGAGAGGGGAGAGCTGGCTGCTCATCACAACACCATGACCTAGTGACATGTGTAACACCCTGCCATAATAATACTTGCAGGATGTTAAATGAACACAAGATGGCAGTTTTCTGCAGCCCAGTTATTTAGACTCTGTTGAAAATCTTTGTGGGATTCTTAGGCTGATTGCAGGACTTTCTTGTTTGCCAGTAAGCTAACAAACTAAATTTCCCAGAAGAGCTGGTGGATGGGTGAAGGCTAAATAAATACAGAAGCCTGGGAACCAGAGGACAGGAAGTGGATGGAGACAGCTGGAGAACAAATGTAAGGGGAAGACTGTGCGGGATGCTGGAGGTCCAAGCTGAGCCAGACCACAGAGCGTGGTGGAGAGAGGTGAAATTGCTGACACCGCTGACAAGTCTGGCAGATAGCCCTGAGAGCAGGCGGGCCAGAGTGCTGCTGTCCATAGTGATCTCTGAAGGAGATACCACAAGGAAATGGGGGCCCCCGTCTACAGAGAGACCATCCGCCACCTGACTGAGGCCACGGATCAGGTGAGAAAATACCAAACTGAAGCCATCTAAGATGCACATGACATTACAAAATCCAGTTACTTTCTACTCCGCTTGACCACTATTTTTTTTTCAAGTTACATATGTTAAGGCCTAAGCTGTTCAGCCTACTAGTTATTACAGTTTCAGCATATCCAATCACAAGGGTATACTCCGCAGGCCTAGCTGTATTATTGCTCCCATTACAGTCTGCCCATTCACCAAGGCGCTCCTTCAGTGCTGCAGTTTTCCACTGGGACTAAAGGAAGAACCAATTTCTACAGAAGTTTTGTTTTGTCCATTGTTTAATTTATGCCAAATTTCTACATCTCACCCCGTGACTGCCAAAGGGGTATTCAAATTCAATAACACGTAAAAGGGCAGCTCCCTTTCTTTGTGTTCACCTTCCATTGAGGATTTTCTACCTTTGCCTCATGGAAGATTTGAATCCTTATGTTCACCAACTAGGAACCCATCGAGCGTGCAGAAGATCAAGTACTGCAGTTAAAGGGCCTATTTAATTGAAGAGCTCTTCTTTATCTCAGAATCAAGCTCAGCAACCAGCCACCAAGAGCCCAAAGTGAGTTAGCCTCTCTGCTTGGTAGGACTGGGGTTATCATTTAAATTCTGACTTGCAGGACATCTGGAACTGATTGACATTGTGCTATGTTCTGACCTTTACTTGACATTACTAGACTGACAGCTGTTATCTTATGGACATTTTTTTCTGTTGCTATATTGTGCTTTCATTTGATCCCAATACAACCGGGGTTGGGCTTCCAGAGTAGGGTCAAGAAAGACAGGCAACCCAAAAATTACACAGCTGCCCCTGAGGGGGTAGTGATACACATATATTAACCTCCCTAGCGGTATGATTATGTCAATATTTCTGTGCTCAAAGTGGTACACTTTTATGCATGAAAAATATGTTTTTTTTTATTGTAGGCCTGTAATTTTTAGGAATAACTCACTGAAATCTGTCCGAACAAAAGTCTAGTAAACATCCCGGGTATGATAAAATTTGAAACATGAAATCATAAATTATAATATAATAAAAAATAATATAATACATTTAATTCAATAATATAATCAAACCAAAAACACTGAAATTTGAAATATAGAGCCAAGTTCGCACATCACTGAGCTTAGTCGCAAAATCGTTTTCAGTGTCTGATGACGAATTTCCCCACGAATCATTATCACTCAATTCTGCAAGTGGTTCTAATTTACTAACGCTGTTCTCTAGGTGGATAAAAAACTGCTTTAGACATAAAGGGACGTTTTTTGGACGCCATGGACTTTTCTCAGTTTCAAGGGAGAAAGAACAGTAAAAATGCAGGCAGGGCACAGGACAAAGCACTAGGGACAAAATGTATGTGAAATGCTTTGATACAGTAATGTTTTACTATTTGATTTTAGTGTATTTTGTGAATGTCACTTTTTAAAATTTTTTAATTTCCCACCGGTTCCGGCCCCCGTACGTCCTGACGCTCGCAGGGACCGGAACCCGGAAGACGGATGCCAGCATCGGCCAGAGGAGATGGCCGGGGACCCTACAGGGGACATATCGTGGGAGCGCAGGACAAGGTAAGTGAAACTGGGAATCCCTGAGCAACTCTGCAGGGTGATCCCGAGTGTAGCTCGGGGTTACCGCTTTTGGCACTAATAACCCCAATGCTACACTCGGGAATACCGCTAGGGAGGTTAATAAACACCTCTGAATCAATAATGCGTTCTGGAGAATTTAAAGGAGAAGAACAGCCAAAGCTCTTTTGGTTGTACTTCTGTGGATCACAGGAATGCCATTTGTTCTGCACTCCTGTGATCCATTTGCAGCTGACAATGGGCTGAAGCATGCTGTCAACTGATGTCCCTTAGCTGAACAAGGCTGGGGAAAGATCCTGACTTTAAAGTTAAGATCGACCCCAGAGTCTGGAGGGGCACCTGCCTGAGCCTCTCAGCAATCTGCTGAGAGCCTGAGCCAGCCGCTCCCTCCCCCTCCACAGGCCAGCTCTGCAGTGAACATAGGTGAGCCGAGCAGACAGCAGTGACTGACAGTTGTTCTGCTCAGAGTGGCTGTGAGAACTCAGCAATCAGTGGTCATGTGATTGCTGAGTTCTCACACTTAAAGCCAGTAGGGGACAGATGCAGCATCGGACCTATGCTGCATCCACCTAGGTAAATATGATTTTGAAAAAAAACAAAATCCAATTCAAAATTCCAATTTTTTGCAAACAACCAGAAATTTGTATTGCGGTGCAATTTTTATCAGACACTTTGCTATAGAATTACTTAGAGTGTTACTAAACCCACAACAGTAAAATCAGTATGTATATGCAGTAAAGTATGCTTGTTATACTCACTGTGGAGCCTAAGGGGTTAATCCTCTGCATTGTGTTAAAAGGATGTTTGATCCTGTCTTTTGTTTCTTGGGAGAGTGCATGTGCCCAGCACAGGACCAATCAGCACTGTCCAAACAGAGGATCAGGGGTCCTGCAACCTCATAGGACAGCCAGGGGAGAATGAAAACTCCTGCGTTTTAACCAGTGCTCTGCTGGACACTGATAGAAGTCACAAGACTGCTTTAACTGCTGATGAGAAAAGGTATTTAGCAGTTTATATTTACTAACATAATTGCATTTCCATATTATGTGTACTGTGGGAGACCAGATATAGTGAATGCAGGATCCGGGGTTTAGTAACACTTAAGGACATTGTACACTTTTAAATGTTTTTTGTTGTTTAACTAGGTAATAATGCAGTTATATTCCCTGTGTTAAGTGTTTACCTTACCTTTTAATGATGGACTTGCA